AGCTCATTGAAAAGCGTGGAATTTTTAGCTGGCTTACAATTTACATTCAGGGAGCCAGCTTCACGTCCAGAGAAAACATACAATTTCGAAAAAATGAAAAAAAGTGAATCAGCTGTTGATGCCAGCCATCGCTAATAAGGCCTTCGTGAAAATGAGCGACTGTCGAAACGTGCGGTTTATTTTATACCTCAGACACAATGTCAACATTAGGGTTGGAGATTATTTTATTTCAGAAGCTTTATAACTCAAGCAGAAAATGAGCAACTTGCCCCATGCGGCACTGGGACAGATTTGGCTAGATGACTGTATTAAGCTTTTGTAGAACAGTGTGGTTCGGTCACACCCTGAGTATTTTGTTTCATCGCAGGAAAAAAAAGGCCGAGAGACGCAGGATGGTCACACACTGTGAGCACGTGTGGCGGATTCTCCTCCCAGGACTTTCCAGATCCTTCTGCTGTGGCTGACCTCAGAGGTGATGCAAGTGAAGGCTTCAAAATCAGCAGACAGACCTGAAAACTGAAGAGAAACAGTGATTCCAAACGATTCCTGCATCACGTGGAGAAGATACTCTCTTCCAGTTGGCCCATTACCAGTATTTACAAAGCAATCTATAAAAATATTTGGCACGATTTAAATGTATTTAAGGTAGTATAGTTAACAAAGTCAGTTAATGATACCTGATTTATTGAGATTAATATTGGTTGTTCATTTGAATCTAAAATTTTTTTGTACTGTATACCAAAACACATCGAAGTTAATGTGGCTTCTTATGCAACTCACATGTGTTTTGTACTGAAATTATCTCACTTTTAATTACATGGTGTCTGATTATTCTCTAGCATCTGCCTCTGGAGAAAAGTTGCATTGCGTAAATGTTCATATGCGTTTTGACAGACATAAATATTTCGGGGGTTCCAGCTGGAGGGTGCCGCAGAGTGATGGAGCTGCAGATGAGATCTTGAGATCCTGTCACGTCGCTGCCTTTGACAAAGGACACGAGCAATTACCCTGTAGGAATCCGAGGCACGCTCACAATCTGCCCCGACACAAATCTCTACTGAAGCTCCAAATCCAGCTGCGAATGCCATTGAGCAACCGAGCCCGAAAATCTTACTCCTGAAAACGGGACTGCTAAATGTTCACTGGCATTGATGACTGAATTTCAACTCAATTGCATTTAAAGACACATTTCAAATAGATTTTTTGCAGTGTCCATTGGAACAACTAGAAGCAATAGTGCTCTCCTGTCTCCAGTAAAAACCAGTGGGTATAAATCAAGCACACACCTGGTGCTGAGGTACATCCAGTATGTCCCATGTGGCTTGTTAATCCAGGTGTTAAACAGATGCCAGTGTGTGTGTGTGTGTGTGTGGGGGGGGGCTCGGAGGGACATGATGCCAGTGTGTTTTGCTTTTACCTGGACACAGGAATTAAGTTTAGCATGGAAACGCGGGATACACGGGCAGTGTTGTGAGCCTGAATTTGCATGCCATTTTTATTCACTAGTCGAAGCTTCTGTGTTTGTGACACTGAGGAATTAGGAAGCGTGGTCTTCCAGAAGGTTTCCATCAGGTCCCTGAACCGTACACTGCAAGGTCTGAGTCAGATGGTGATGGTTCTGAGGGGGGTCACTAACTGACCGTGAAAATCACTACGAGCAAGTCAATGAAATAACATTTAGGCCTCAAATGGATTCCGACACCCTTCTAGATCCTTCCATTGTTGTCTTACAAATGCAGCGTGAGAACAGGCATTACAGTATACAGAAAATGATCAGCACCATCTGATCAATTCATAATCAATGCCGGAAGCCTCACTAGCAACTGGTTCACGTTATTGTATGAATGCGGAGTCTGGTTTATAGATTCCTTCGCAATTTCAGGGAAAGGCTGTAAAGTTCACAGCAGCAGGGCCCTGCGGCGTCCCCTCCCGCGGAAAAACAAGCAGTGCATCCCCGCAAAAACACGGACGTGCGGCGGCAAGGGGTGCCGCAAATGGCCCATAACGGGGGCGGGCTGACTTTAAGTGCTCCGACGGGGAGCGAGTGCGGAAAAATGAGTCTCAAAAGAGCGTGTAAAAATGCCTTTGTCACCGGACCGTCGTTTTTTGAGGTCTTGCATGTGCAGAGACACCTCAAAGTGAGAAGCTGTTGAAAAAAGAGTGAAATTTTGTTCCCCAAGGTACAAACACCCGCAATGATACAAAAATGTTCCTTAGAGTCCATTTCTGTATATTAAATTAGACTAAACGGTACATTTACCTGCAGCTAGGCTGATAGGGTGTAATTAGCAGACTCTTGAGGGTACTGCCCCAGTGACACGAAAATACCCTCAGTGGTACAACTGGTACTTCTGACAGTGTATGGGCAAAGGTAAGAGGGCGCCACTCACCGATCCGAGCCGCCACACCAAAAGCGGTAGGCTAATATGTGAGGACAAATTCCCGATAGCACTTTCAACGCTAGAATAATGCATATAAAATTAATTTAAGGTTTTTATTACAGCTTTAAATAACAGCACCAATATTTCCGACACATTATAAAGTATTAATTTACTATATTTGAATATATTCGTTTCAAAAGGTAACAAATGGAGCAGACAAACTAAGTTGTAGTAACGAATGTAGCCACTAGATGGAAGTAAACGTTTGCAAAATCTTTTATACCGCCAGTTAAACTGCTTAACTCCAAATATATCTGTTTTCGTTACATTTAATACATGCAGTAAATAAATGCCAATTGTCAGCACAGCATACGTGACTGAAAAATAACGCGAAAAGAATCATACAAAAATACGAACACACTTTTACAGTTTTGGCTTGCTTGCACACGAGGAATACGCATAGCTGAAGCTCCACCACTAGATGGCAGCAATGCTCCATTAAATTTTGGCTAGACTGTTTAAAAAAATAAAATAAAATACCCGACAATCTGTATATTGCGATTTTTTTTTTTACTTTGTTTTTATTCTGTATTTTCCTGTCCAATTTATCGGGGCATTTGAAAAAGTCAAACAAGGCAATATTTAATTACTTGGTCCATCTTATGTTAAACATGCAGGTTAGGCACGCCTCTGTTTTGGTTTACCTTGACCAATTTGAGACTTCATGAGAGCACTGTATTTCACTGCACTGCACATCACTGCATCTTCATACATCAGACACTGTGCCTCCTCACCAGTTCATAAAAATTAAGCTGATTAATTCAATTAAATATCCCTGATTTACTTCTAGAATATCAGGCCATAAAATGCTCTAATGGTCCACATTCTCCTAGTTAAGCTGAAAAAATCACCTTAAATGTGGTGTAGCCAACCAAACATGATGTAATTGATAGAAATGCACTATTACTACTGCAAGAGTTGAAATTGGTTATGAAATATCATGAAATTGGGGCCCGGTTTGCAAGCCATACAACCGAATCCAAAATGTGCAAATCCGATTTAAGCTGTTTGTCATTAAAGCACTTTCTAGGACGATGTGAAGAATTCCTCATACGAATATCACAAAGAACCGTTCTCTAGCTTCGGAACCCTGCCCCTGGGAAAAGGTTCATTATGGGGAGTTTCCAGAAGCTTCTGTTGGAGGCTACGGGAGCACGAAGACTCAGATAACAGTGTGGTGACCTTGTCTCTCCACACCAAAGTCTCAGTAATTCTACATGTCACTTGCTTCCAAAACAACCGAAAATCTAATAACATGCATTTTACATTGTACACTTGAGAGGAGCAGCTGATAGTTTACTGTTGAAGGACTTGATGGTTATTGGTTCGAGTGCCATGAGGGCGGGGTGGGGTCGAGTGCTTTACTTTTTTAGAATCATCTAAATCAAGGGTGGGTAATCTTATCCGCAAAGGGCTGGTGTGTATGCGGGTTTTCACTGCAACTCCCTAATTAGATTACTAATTAGAGGACTGATTGGCTGAAGAGTCCTCACACCTGGGTTTGAACAGCTGACCTGAAACAACAACTGAGGACGCAGCTCGGATGGGGTGGAGAGCATCAGTTCCGGACCCTCTTTTGTAGCAGACCCTCCATGTAGCCACGGTAAAGTGTTAATCCAGGTGTCGAAAGCCCTGTAATCACAGACCTGAACTAAATCAGGACCCTACAGAAAAATGCCGGCACTCTGGATAGAATATCCGTTTGATTAGTAACACGTGGTCCAGCCCACTATATGAAGCACGTGATTTACAGTGGGGATTAGCAATACCACTAATTTTTCTTTTCGATCCAATACGATCCAAAACACCAAGGTTTGTATCACTGGTACGGTGGTACCAATCCTGACATTTGCTGCCGGCCCAACCCTGCCGGGGGCGGAGGGTTGCCGTTCATAGACTCCACAGTAAAACCTTTCTCACACCAGCCCCGATCAGCCTGAACGCTGCAACCTTTTCTCCTCAATGCTGTAAATGTACCTATTGTTCACCTCTCTCTCTCTCTCTCTTTCTTTCTTTCCACCACGTTACATTTCGCACACACTAACGTGATGACTACGCCAGTGGTTTGTTGCATCCTCCTTCTACCTGCACTTCCACACTTGGGAACAGCATCAGCCGCATGCACCGTGCATGACCAAATTTTATGGCAGGAGCCAATAAACAAAAGGTTTAACAGCTTATAAATAATTGAATAAACAACACGCGTACTGTTTTATTTCTTGGGCCATTATATTGGTGTTGTTAGCGGGATAACAAATGCGAATCATGTACTTAAACCTGTTGCTTTAAACATTTTAGGAGAAGTTAATTGTGTCCGGTTAATTAGAAGACAACACCTTGCAGAAATGTTAATTGAGCAGCTCCCTAACCGTGCATAGATTTCCCGCTAAAGGCTCCACCGTAGCCATCCGATGCAAGTGGCGGTTCCTTATTAGCGGCTTCATTCCTGGTCCCTATTTCCATATTTATGGTAATAAGGAAAATTTGCTGAACTGCAAAATCGAGCACATTTAAACCACACGGGCTTCCAGTGTACAGTTACTGAGCGGAGCCGATGGATCAGCTTTTAAAAGAATCGTTTATTTTAACAACGGATTACATGCTAAAATGAATAATTTACAGCAGCAGTTTTCCCTTTCGATCCTCTTCCAGATCCACAGAGCCCTTCTGAATGTGTGCCGATCAATGGATACTGTTTTGTACGTGTCGCAAAACATTAAATAACTGTTAATTGGCTTGTGGGGAAATATATAAACCATGGTTGCATATCGTCGATGAAAAAGTGATATACACACACTGGAAAAGAGTACTTATAGACTCAAGTATTGTACACCGTTCCCTTGATTTACCTAAGGAAAAATATATACACCTCAAAAACAGGTAAATGTGTACTGCTTAATGGGTAATTCTATACACACGACATTAATAGAGACTTAAATGGTAAAGAAAAAAACTCCCGATGCACAAAAAAGCATTCACATGCAATTTGTACACAGTGCATGTTGGACCATGACATGATTTACTTTATTATTATTACTATTATTTTACATAAAATTCACAGCTAGGTCAGGGTATATTTTATCTTGAAAAGAATAAGTATTCTATAAGTTTGCCACGTTGGAGTTGCAGTTTGTAAAACAAAATCATCCAGTCTCGTACTATGTTCAGGTATAAGTTCTTGACAATCCGCTTTTTTTCTAATTGTTTGGTTTTATAGGGAGAGGTAACGGCTTTTATTTACGGAACGCCAAACGCGGAAAGGCATGTGATTTATTTAGCGAAACGTGTTTTGACCTTTTTGTTACGCCGTAGAGCGCGCAATGTAGAAAGAGAAGAACGTAGTTCTGTGTGGCGAGGAGCGTCGAAGCGTTAAAGTCTTTCCAGAGCGAACCGTGCTCCATCTCCGATTATAATTAAAGCTCGCATCGAATCCGGTAATAAGGTGCGCCGACATAAGACATAAAGAGGCTCAAACAACCACGTTTACATCGCATTCACTGCGTAAAGTGAGTAATGACAAATACATAACATAAAGCTTAGTTCATACTTCACTTTTCCGCGTGCAGATGATCGCGGTTGGGGTATGCTTACAGCAGTGATATTTCACCAGACCAGGAGAGGGCTCATGTATTGCAACAAATGAAATACAAGAAGTGTAGTGAAACGGGTGCAATTTTATGAAGAGTTTACCCTACCCTTTGGGCGGAATTAAAGGGACATAGCATATTTTGAATTAATTTCAAAATGAATCGTGTTAATTTTGAAGATACCATATGTCTGGACAGTGTGAAAAATTAGATCCATCTCCACACCTCCAACAACAATTCTTCTTCCTATACTTTTTCTTGGTTGACCTCTGGTTTGTGCAAGTCGGTGCTGCCCCCTACTGTACACACCTCGTCAGTTTCCTTGGACATGCTTAGTCAACATGCAATGGGCACTGACCCCCGACGAGAAAATTTATGCCACCTTTTGTGCGGACCGATAGCTCATGCGGAGAAGTGAAGTATGAATTAACATGTTTAACATGTGTCTTGCACGTAACAGACGGTTTCCTCTGACTAAGTCAAGCTCCGAAGCCAGTATTTGCATACTGTCAGCTTCACGATCATTTCTGCTGAACATTTTGGCCAAAGTTGGACCCAGCATGTCAGCGTTGCAACATGAGGTAAAAGTAACATTTCTGTCAATCACTGCACTATACTGCACTGTGGTATGAAATTGGTGCAGATAGTTACTGGTAGCTTAATGAAATCTTTCCCCTTTGTCGCCTAATGCATGCATCGTTCATTAATTAATAAATTATCAGGAGTGGATCCAGCAAAGGTCTGGTAAGGTGTTTGGACTTTACAGCATTATTAGTTGTAATATATGCAGGCTGGAACGCAAAAAATACATATCAAAAGTCAATATACTGTATATACTGTTTTCTTAAAAAAATTAAGGACTGTTTAATTTAAAAGGAATGTTTAATTTGTTGGTTCAACTCACTGACTGACAGTATGTTACAAGTTGTTATTGCACCTTCCAGTCAATATTGAACTGAAAAGGATATTTTATTTTAAGGATATTTTAAGCCTTTCCATGAAGCTATTTGGAATAATTTACGATTATTTAAATACATAACTGGATGGTAGTTTGCTTCTGAACATGAGAGACACATTCAGTTGACCATGCTGTGGATTCAAATCAAACTAAATAACTTAGAAATAATGATACGAAAGTAAAGAAGCGACTCTAAGAAAGTCTCTAACCCCAAGATGATGCAGTAGTTTGTGTAGAAAGCAAAACATATACAATAAAATACAAATAAAACTATTTTACCATACTTTACGATAAAACTCTGTTGATGCAAAAATAAAACATTCCTTTTGGAACAAGTTTACATAGTTATCTGACCTGGAAGAGCTTATTCAGATTGTTAACAGCACTGGCCTCATGGCCTGAATCTTGCTGTTTTGACCTATTGCAAGGATCCTTGAGTAATGTGCATGTTAGTAACATTATATATAACAATTGTATTGTTATAATAAACCACTGATGGCAGTACAAGAAAATCAAAATGTTAATTTTTTTTTAGAGTTTTGAGTCTTCAGAATTTCGAGACTGCAATGATCAGCTCACCATGCTGGCTATTATTGAAGATGTGAATTTAAGATCATGAAGTAGAATGGATATATATTTTTTCCCCCACAAGGATTCAAAGAAATGTCATTGTCGGTGATTTCCCACAGTACAAAAATGACATAACTGGTGTAAGCATTTAGATGATAGACTGAACCACTACATACAGGCTAATTATTCCAAGAGTTATCGTCCTCTCCTCACATAATGGGGATTTCATGGTTTTAAACTACCTAAGAAGTGGTAATCATTCAAAACGACTGGAATATTAACAGACCTCAACTAAAACCAAGCATCACACATAGTCTCTGCTGGAGATTATTTACAGGAAGTCCCATGTCCGTGTACTGCATCGGTGTCCATCTTCCCTTAATGGAGATTGGTCAGACGGGGGTGAAGTGTCACCAGGTGAGGGCGCTTTCAGTTCTCTTCGTCGCTTCTTTGTAAACATCTTCACCATAGCAACATCTTGGGCCTGGAGCATCTCTGCACTCATTTCCAGTTAAGTTCCTTTGGGGAATCTACTCAAAAGAATGTCCATCTTTTGTTTTGCTGGGGCACATCAGGGTGCTCGCTCAGACGCTCCTCGGCGCCCTCTCCAGCTCGTGGGTCCTCCGGTTGCGGCCCTTCTTGTTGTCCTGCAGGTGCTTCCACTTGCCTGCATGCGCTGGGCCATTCTGAGTCTTCTGGCGCCGCTGCCGGCGCTCTCGCCTCCATACCTGGTCACAGAACTCCTCCACACTATTGAGGTTGGGATGGTTGATGAGGGACATGAAGTCCCTGTACCACACCTTCTGGCTGGAGGATTGAGGCACTCCTTCTCGGGCCCTGCCACCTTCTACTGAGCTCTCCTCTTCCTTGTGCAGTAGCTCCTCCAGACGCTCCGTGTCAATGACCTCCAGGGAGACCCTCAGTAAGGCCTGAACGAAGCCATGCTCCACTGCTTGGCAGTGGTAGATCCCAGAGTCCTCCTTCTGTAGGCTCCGGATGAGGAGGCCCTGTTCAGTCCTTATGAATTTGTCATCTGACTTGATCTGCAATGGAGAAAAAGCAGAAGAGGATTTGAGGACATATGCTATCATTAGCCCCAATTTATTGATCATACTTTATTGACTTATCCTACAACTTTTCTCTCCTCTCATCGTCTACAGAAGCCTTTTCTTCCATAAAGAGAGACTGAAGTCATGGAGGTCATTCACTACAACAAATAGCCTACGTCTTGTATTTTCAGCTGTTCTCGAGGTCCTTCTCAGTGCTCTGTGGAGAATTCCTGGGAGAGAAGCTGCGATTTCAAAAAGGCAAGTGTAACTACAGCTTAATGGAAACTGATCCTAGGAAAATCCTAAAAGAGAAAGGAACATTAAAATAAGCAAAATTCCCTGATGACAGATTCCATACGGACGGTAGGAATTGCAGGGGGCTTTTTGTGGCCTCGGACGGCTGGGGTCACGCGGAGCACGGTGGTCGCGAACCGTAATGGACCGACACGGACTTACACCTGTGGGGTGGTCACGGCTCATTATTCACACCCAGCCCCCACTCCCCATTAGTCAGGCAGGCTGCCTTGTTCCCTAACAAGTGAAGAATGTTAAAAGAGAGACAAGAAAAATAACGAGTCAATGAAGCAAATGAAGAACATCAATCTCGGCTAACAAGGACTGACGGAGCTAGCTGTGGAAATCTTCTGCAACTTTCTAAGAGCTGATATCCCAGCGTCATGACTGGTGCTGATTCCTTAGCCCACCTTAGAAAGGGTAAGTTGGCAAAGTGTCTAAATGGATTCATTGATGTCATTAGGTTTATTTCCACACTTGAATTGGAGGCGGTGGACGGTTTTGGTGCATTTTGCAGGTACTGTAGGCTCCAGAGTGCTGGTATTGCAGAAAGCATGACCAAACACCCCCCTTCGTCCCGCATACCTCTTGCTTGCGTTCCTCTCCCTGCCTCTGAAGCTGCCAGTAGATGCGAGCTCGCTGTGACTTTGGGCTGCACTCCAGAAACGTGCTGCTGTTCTCCACGCCATAGGTCAGCTTGTCCTCCAGAGTGCCTTGTCCGGTGAGATCGTCTACCAAAGCAGAGGATCCACAGAAAAAACCTTATCGCTTATATATGTACAAAGATAAGTAATCCATTCCAGAATCCTAATGTAAGTCAGATATTATGCACGTTTTATTTACCTTAATATACCATTCAAGACAACTTATAACAAAAAAACGCTAGATATGCACAAACATATTGAATGAATGTAAAGATAAAATATAAATTTCCGTACAGGTATGTCGTCTTTTGGCATTAGCGCTTCTTTAGACTTGTATCTGGATTTACCTACACTGTAACCAATAGCTGTAAAGTTACATAGTTTTTTTTTTTTTACGGTGTAGGCTGGTCTTACATAAACGAGAGCTGCCAGAATCAAACCCTTAAGTACCATTGTTAAATTTGGGAGCCTATTCGTCACTATTCACCCCTCAGTGTTGCTCTCCCTACAAAACAGCAGCTTTTGGCATGCAAAAATCTGAAGCCAGATGGGATCATGGATGTTCCGAGAACACATCTGTCACCAAGTAGAGCTGTTAATTTCCAGCTGTCGGCTCCAGAATTGCTTCCATGCCACCATTAATAGTGAAGCACAGTGGTCTCTGTTCACTCCTTTGTCCTCGGTTTAGCCCCCGGAGCCTTGGCCTGGCCGCTCAGGTGGTTTTAGCTTACGGAGTAACGGGCAGGTCCCTGTGTGTGGTCCATTGCCCCCGTCTAGTGCTGATTCTGACGCTAACAGGCAGTTGCTTTTGTAGGATGTATTGTTAATGATGAAGGACCTTCCTCACTATAACAGGGATTTACACAAGCAGCATGTGAACAACCAGGCGACAATTTCGGGGGCTCTGTACAGGCCTGAAAGACTCATTAAACTTTTTACAACTGATGTCATTCTGACCTTTAGATGTATTTATCCAGAGCAATGAACATTTTTGAGAAGTGAGGTCAGACAGTCCCTGAAGCAATTGGGGCCCAAAGATGAAATCACTCTGCTGACCTTGGGATTTGAACTAGTGACCTTCCAATCAGAAACAGAATCCTAATTCACATGCCACTCCCCTTAATGCTGACCATTTTTAAAATAACTTTCAATGTTTATTTGGAGAAATGTTAAATTTGTCACAAAAACATCTTGCTGTAGGAGCACGAGTGAATTTCACAATGGCTTTTTGTGTTTCTGCAAAGACAAAATTTTAGACATATGGAGCCTTTGAGAGAGAACTACTGCGTGGAGGTCATGAGACTTTGGACATACCACTATGCTGGAGGTCCGAGCACTGAGTCAGAGGGTCTCCGTTCCTGATGTCCTGACGCCTTGTCCTCCTACAACAAAATCATGGATGCTTCCCATTAACAAAGCTGCCTGTTCCCGCGCCCTAATTAACATACGCGTGGCAAGAACAAGGCAGTGCCTTGGCAACAGTAAGCAAACAGTCGCATTTCAATGTTTTGTTGTGCGTTTATGTTCATTTTTAATGTGGAAAAGGGCTGTTTTTGCTCAGGGTGGAATTTCCTGAGCAAACACATGCATGTGGTTTTGTGTTCAATCTCCAGGCCGGCAAAAACCCTAGGCACGGCCTCTGTGCTCTGGTATATCTCTCCCCCTGCATGTAACATCAGCATGGTGCTGTTGAGGCCCCCGTACTACTGGCTTATCTTACGGGTCAGTCGAGCCACCCGGTGGAAACCTGATGCCAAGCTACCGATGTTGAAGTTGGTAAACCGAGAAAGCGCCGCACGCTAGGGGGACTAACTGCCTTTCGGAAGAGCAAGTCGGAATCTGAGCACTAATGAATGAAAATCCAAATGGCAAGGAGGGATTTGGCTAGAACTCGGGCAGAACGGTATCTTGTTTAGTACCTCCAATAGCGATTGAAGCCCAAGTGGCACCTTTGCCAAGCTCCATCTGAGACTAGTTGGCGCCCCCTAGGTGGTCACCTACAGTATGTCACCCAATGGCTTGACCAGTAGTGTATCTTTTATTCTTACCTTTCTGGCCCTTACAACAGCTGCGTCGATCCCTACATCGTAATTCGTACACGTGAGCCATAGGGCTACAGCTGAGAAAATGGTCAACACCCTCATATTCCAGACAACACATACTGTATAAGAGGCGAGAGTGAGGGTTGGTCATGTCCAGACCATTAACCTGGAAGCGTGCCTCCCCTTTTGTAATAACTCTGACGACTGTAAAAACATCGTTAAAATAATTTTTGGCCGATGCTCGATGTTTGCATTATGCAGTTCGCACTGTTCTCTTGCAGTTCCGAACGCAGTGGTCCATTACCCTATGGTCCCTCATGAAATTTTCTTTTTACTTTAAAGGGCCTGTTAGTGTTATCTGAAATCCACTTCCTGTTTTCCAAGGAATTTAGAACATCATACAGTTGGGATATTTTCACAGGAGGCCTGGTTCACAGATGGCCACTGTCCTCAACAAGAAGTTCAGAAAATAACCTTTTTACTATATTTGATGACATTTAAGGTCCAAGACCCAGTGATCTTCCACTTAACTCCTCTGTCTGTTGATCCTTAAGGATGTGGGGAATTTGCAGACATGCTTGCACAGTGTCTAGAGCAGGGCTGCTCATTTCTCCTCCTGGAGGTCTAAAACCCTACAGAGCTTAGTTGCAGCCCCAATTTAATACACCTGCCCTAGTCTTAACGTAGGTGGCTCTAATACTGAGATGCTACTGAAGAGCCTGATTATCTGTATCAGGTGTGTTAAATTTGGGCGCCACCTAAGCTCTCCAGGGTGGTAGATCTCCAGGAGCTGGGTTGGGCAGCCCTGGTCTAACACCGTCCAGGATTTTTGCCCTGCCCTCTGAAGCAATGGAGTGAATTTGCCCACAAAGGGTTAAAGAACATTCTATCAGCCGTTCACCCGGCATGGTTTCCTGAGGAACATTCCTCCTTCCTGCCTGGCGTGTCCAGTGTGGGCCAAATCGTCTGTTTCTCATTTCTCCGTGCAAAGCAAATATTTGGTGAAGACTACAGTGGTCTTCTGTGGCGATGTCCGAGTGCAAAGAGGGAGGAGGGGGGTGTGGCCCGGCTACCTTTTGGCGGTGGGGAAGTAGCGAGAGCACTCGGTGCCATCCCAGGCGCAGTAGGGGTCTCGTGCCAGGCAGCACTCAGCGCAGGCTTTGCCATAAACTTCACAGCGGTGCAGGGGCATCTGGGAGACCCCGATGGATGAGCCCAGGTACAGCTGTTGCTGTTGGGAGAGCAGATGTGTGTTACTGTCCAGGAGGACTGGTGATCGTCTGCTTCTGTTCACTGTAGCGGGTTCAAGGGGCAAAGACAGAAGCAGACAACTTCATACCGAGTTAAATGAGGCTAGCAGAAATCTGTAGCGTTTTAAACAAGTGCTAAAAATTACCCATTTCAGTGAAGCAGTTTAGGTTGACCGCATAAATAAGTACTAGTTTACAATAACTATTAGATTATTAAGGTATTGCATATTGACCCACCCCGCTCGTGACGGACATTTCCCCCTTTGCTGACACTGAACATATTTCTGTACGTCTATATCTGACACAAGCTGTGATGAATATTTAAGTGGTGTCATTAATCCTGAAAATTTGCCATGGACTACAATGTGAAACAATTCTTCAGATTTGAAAAAACAAAAAAGAACTCAACAGAAACCATTACACACAAAAACCCTTTAATAATCTTGCCTTAGATTTCATACCAAGTAAAGCAAAATCAAAAGCTTATTTTACTTTTGAATTGTGTTTTTCACCCTTTGGGAATGTTTCTTTCACATATTTCCTTTGTGTTTTTGTTTAGTTTTTTTTTTTGTTTTAGGGTCATTTTAGCGTATGTAATGCATTGTTAATGAGCCTGGAGCTTAGTAACCACTCTAAAGCTCCATGGGACTTTGTGCAAAACAATAACCAAAGGAAACCTTTGGCCACGCATGTTAGCCTCTCCCTCCATGTCATTTCCTGTGTTGTTTTTCCATGAATGTCTTCGGTAATGAAACACACATGAAATGTTCAATGTAGCTAGTGGCATTCCCCTTTAAAGCAGATATTACTGTGTCAGCTAAAGTGCACATTTAATATGCTGACTAGGGGGCACTGTGACCTCCCCAGCGAAACTGCTTCTTGACATTTATCACTGGAACAACATTAACAACAAATGTTCCAATTTCGAGCGATTGTGTCAGGATGTCGGCCTCCTTTGAATTTGACCGGCTGCAGAACAGCCACGCTGAGCTGGGCACGCTTTGGTAAGGCTGTGGAGAAAATCTTAGATTAACGTGAGGCTTGCGAATGTGTTCGGAGGAGGACTTACCTGCTTGGTGGAGAGCTCCATAGCTGTAATGACCGTGGGCTCCTACAAGGAAGAGTGGCAGCCAAATTAATAAAGTTCAGAGTTAATTTTCACAAAACAACACCTCACATCCCCTCCATGTGGTGCTCCAGTGAGGCCATAATATAGGGCAGCAAAGAGCCCTGACCTCAGCATCAGTTCAGTGAACCACTGACATTTCAGCTTAATACTCTGCGGTTAGACAAAAAAATCCCCTTCCTCTCTGGATTTGGTCATAGGTGGTCGAGCTTGGCCTACATATTCCCCAGTCTCTCCTCTCTTGGCATCATACTAGAGATTTAATGTTAACAAAACACCAGATCCTTCTTGACGTAATGCATCCTGGAAGTAAATCAGTAAATCATCGGAGCTGCTGAATTGCCTGCAGCATCTTATTGACATATTTTGTGTAGTATTTTTTTTTTTTTAAAGAAGCTCCTTCACCTGGAGACACATTTTGTGTTATGGACTTGGCAGATTATGATTATGTGTGTTGATGACCTGGGGAATCTCTCCTTTTGGGTTTAGTAAAACCCTTCAGCTTTTAAAAGTTCCGGATTTCGCTCTTCAGCCACTGCTTTCGCAGTATTTCTGTTTGCCTCTATGAATCTTGGCAGGCCGTACCCGGAAGACGGTCATCTCCTCCAGCAGAACTTCTTCCAGATCGTGCCAAGTCTCTCTGGGAATGGACACCACTTTCAGAACAGTCCCTATATCTTGAAAACAAGACAGAGAATGTGAATGTGGCCCAGCACACCCCCCTGGGCCATGTCATGCAGGGGTGGCAGGGTTGTTTCTGGGGCCCCATTCAAAACGTCACTTTGGGGCCCCTTGCCCCCCCTAATGTAGTGACTCACAGGCGGGAGGCATGGGCTGTAAGTTATGTTCATAGCCAATAGATAAACAAAAGAGAATTTAAAATGATGTGACATAAATAATCAACTATATAGGAAGAGGTCTGTCGGGAAGAGGGTTCCAGAAACAAACAACTTCATCTGATCACGGCGGTAGTCACCTGTCCCAATGAACATGACGTCATACTGGCCATCCTCTGCCTCCACCCTGTCCACCACAATCTGGGTGAACTGGTAGTCCACGTCAGTCTTGGTGATGATGGGCTGGTTGTTGATTGGATAGACAGGATTGTGCATGGCAGGGTGGCCTCTGGCAAAGGTGATGACATCATCGGGAAGGTCCTTTGTCGACTCGAACCCCCCAAAGGTCTTGCTCGGGCACTGTGAACCAACAAGAGCCACAGCAGTGAGGGAATGGCGACCCTGTGTTGGTACCATATACCACGTGGCCTCCTCTGCATCCCTCACTCACTGTTCCTGGCCGTGGATAGGGTACCCTCCCCTGGAAAGACACCCACTGGAAGTTGGGGCCATCCCGGTGTGCGTAGGGGCCCAGGAACACCCTCCTAACGTCGGTCATGCTGTACATGCACACCGCCGACCCCTTGAAGATGTTACTGCAAGTAGAAAATCAAATCCATTACCCTGGAGAACCTTCAACTACAGATTAATCCCTGTGATAAACTGCCTTCCCCCACACAATTAGCCCACGTATTGATTACGATGCAGCAGTGGATGGTTTGTTAGTTTTTGTTAAATGTTATTTAGGGAAAATTCAATTAGGTGTAACGCCAACTCTTATCGCACTCTGCAGCTGCACATGCTCCATGACAGTAATGCAGTCAAAGGAGAAAAAGCTAGTAGATGAATAATATTTCCCATTATGTTTTCTTTGAATTCTTTGAAGTCTTTCTTAAAATATCATAGATCTGTCCCCACTCTCCCTCTTGAATACATAGCACATATCTTTTAAAAAGTTTACATAAACATCTGAAGCTTTTAATCAGACGAAGAAAACATGCTTTTTAAGGATAGGTCATTACCCCAATCCGCTTTTGGTCTGCTCACGTGTGCTAACTTTGCAGACACGTGCACCGCATTCATTGAGATGATGACCGGCCCACATTTACTGATATGAATATTTGGACCAGCAGGTCACTAAGTGGAATTCTAAGGAATCCTAAGTTTCTGTCAAGTGGAACTATACAACATGCTCCCTAAATATGGGATAAGAAGGAGCATCAGCATCAGGGGCATTATCCTATCCAAAAGCTATTGGAGAAAGTTGCCAGCCTCAAAGAAAGGAAGCATTCACCTGGATGTTGCAAACACAGCATAAATGACTGGATTCTTCGGGTCCTTTGAGCTCATCATAAACACGTCCTCTAAGGGTGATAGAGACACAGTTAGCATGAACCAAATAAAACTGGCATTTGCCCTGCAGGATGAGGAAACGAGACACAAAGCGACTTACGCAGCTCATCAAAGTGGGTGTCGATGCCGTTATTGCCGGGCACTGAACAAACCAGGCGGGCTTTTAAGAAGGTGGTCCATTTGTTCACCAGGCTCCTGTGACCCCCAAAATCGTTCTGTTAAAGAGACAGGACTTGAATGAATGATTGCAAAACAAACCGACAAGCATTCTACATTTGACTCGCTCATTGAGAAATACACAAACGGGACATCATTAGAATGGCAAAAAATATGGAAAATACATTTCCCAATTTATTGTGAGAAGAATAACTCTTATGAAGCTGCAAAGGTCATTTCACCAGGCGTCCTGTGGTATTACGATTTATATGTGAAAGAGTGCAAACTTCTCCTTGGATACCAACTGAGATATCCTTGGTATTTTGCACAATGGCCCCATTGTGATGTAAGCACCATCAGGTTCACCCTGGTCTGCTGCCAATGAAAGGTTATGACCAGTAAATTTGCAAAATGGAGGACCACGTTGTCTCAGGACATCGCAACACACAAACTTGTAGCCTGCAGGATCCTCCCACGCACAGACACACGTACACAGCCTTTGAAGAGCTTTTACCCAAGAGGCGTAACGACAGATCAGAGCTGGTTGAGCGATGCTGGTACTCAGGTTTATTTGTTTTTGCTAAGGAGGTGTGGATGTTCTTCCACTGGGGAGGGGGGGTTACCTTGCAGAGCTGTCCGATGCGTGCATACGTTGCTTTCCCCGTGTGCTCGCCGTCCATTGCGTTCTCGCGGAAGAACAGGTAGATCTTGTCGTCTTCGGGGTTGTCGCTCTCAGGGATCAAGTTCACGCCCACAAACCGGGGGTCTGGGAGTGAACAGACACAGGAGCATCGCATCATCTGGAGGTTTCCAGAAACTGTTGAGGAACCTCAAGAATGTTCTACAACCAGTGCAACTGCATGTTTACAGAACCCTCAAAACCTTCTAGTTTGTAGACCTGCAAATGAATTCACCCAGAATAAATATTCACTTACAGTACCAAAATTAGTTACATTTAACTTGGTGAAAATGCTAACTACTTTGCCATCTTGGCCTGTCTCTCTATTAATTCTGAAGCTCTTGAGCAATATTTGGACATTGGACAGAACGTTGTAAAATGGGGTTATGTTTGCCAGTGAATGGGTCCCTGTCACATAGCTTGGCCCAAAACAAGAACAGTCAAGGGCTCAAATCATATAGAGGAAGACACTGATTAAATGGAGTAAAATCCTCCGCTGAGCTGAAACCAGCTCACACACATCATCTCAGATCCACTGGGGTGTGACATGTTAGGGGGATAGATTATTTCCCTAAATCATCCTGGCTGACCTCTTTGAGGACAACTCCCTCCCCCAGCCACCAACAACCATCCACATATCTGCTTTACCAACAACTCCAGCTACCAGAGAATAAAGGATACTGGGAATTTAGCTGAAATCCTCGTATTACCTCCTCTTCACAAAAAAACCCCACAATGACAGTCTCTGAAAAGAGGAAGACTTAAGGAAACGGGGAGATAAAAGTGTAATCTGTGTAAAGTCTAAAAAGATTAACCGACGGACAAAGCCGGTTCTTTCTTTATTTGCAGTGATGCTAACAGAGCGGCGAGGTGGTTGGGGGTGGTGGTGGTGGTGGGGGGGGTTAAGTAATGCAGCTTGAGATTTGAAGGCCATATAAAAAGCTAAGTAAGTCTAAAGTCTCTGGAAATATATCAGACGTGTCTGAGCCCTAAAGTTCTGCATTGTGCTTCTTAATTCCCGCTTTCATGCAGACAGGGGGCGCACTTCAGTCCTTGTTAATCCCCAAAGTGGGTATGAGACATAAAAAAAAATGCAAGGTTATGAATAGGCGATATCTGATGTCTCTGATCCTCTCAGCACCACGTCAAGCGGAGGATGGATTCAAAGAGTAGGTTTGCAGCGCCCCCTGATGGCAATATGAAAGCAGTTATGTAGGTATACTGTAAAAGATCAGCCATGAAATCTGAACTGCACGTGAACGTGAGCTCTCTAAAGGTTTTACTGCATGTGGTGATTTTCTCAGGACCCTGAAGACAAGTGGTTGACAGACACGAAACAGACCGGAACACCCTTAATGACAGACGCATCGGGGGCAATGCAAATATGGTGATGTGTCGGCCGTCCGTTCCCATACCATTTAACCACCTGGAGTCGTGCTGCTCTGTCCGGATTGGGTGATGTGGCCCTAGTGTGCGGAAAATGGCAAAGTCCCTTCCCATGAAATCCGCCGATGTCCCAGAGTACAGCTCCCCGTCTGTGAAACAGGAAAAAATACGAGTATCAGCACCCGTCTTTCACATACCTGGGCGATTTCATTTTAGGTGCTTGGCTGATGTTTTTATCCATCATTAAACACTTCCACAGTTTGAATTTTTGATGGATTAATTCATGTTCACTTCCAAGCTACAGCAGCATCCATGGTAGGATAATAACAGGCTTTGCACCGGCTTCTCGGCCTACACCCTTAATCACTATGCCACCTGCAGGCCCCAAAAATTAAATCCCATCTTTGTGCTTGGTTAAGTTTACTAAAAAAAAAACAGGACTTTGTCTCTCTGTCTATCAGATTCTTTTATAGCACATTTCCATGTCATCTGCAGCCCATCTAATGCGCGCAAATCCGAGATGCAAGCCCGAAAAATCCGGCTGTAAATCCAAGATATCGATTGGACTATGAATCCAAGATCTGAGCTGAGCCGAGGGTCGAATCTCTTTCTCAGAGAGGGACTGAGTGCCAGTGAGAAGATTCCTATACGCCAGGCTGACAGCAGATCGGTTAATTAAAAAAAAAAATTGTCAAACCGTGAATCAAAATCAGAATCATTTTTATTACCCAAGTATGTTTCCATACAAGGAATTTGCCTTGGTGGTGCTTTTACGAGACATTACAAAAAAGGACATTACAAAGAACTTTCAACGTTAAAGAAATGTAAAAGGCATATACAAAGAAAACGGCATATATAAATCACATTTATTCCCAGGATTTTTATGCTAAACATGTAACTCTGGTGTTGCATGCTGATTGGTTGTGTACTGATTTCTGATTACTGATTTTCTCATTCACATATTGTTGTATTCTGTTGTGTTTCACCTCCATGAACCGAGACCAGCGGCTAGACGCTTATCCTTGAGAGCTGTGGCCGTGATGTTTATTTGGTTTTTTCCTGGCATGTTTTGATCCCTTTCCTGACCCTGTTACTGCTGAAAACCATATTTGTTTATTGTTCCCTGCCCAGAAGTAGTGCTTATAGGAACAAGGCCTAGCCAGCAGGACGTTGGCTTCGGTCCCTCAAGGGTCCTACTTGGCATTTTAACATTTCAAAGCCTCTTTCACATCAGTACAGTCTCACAGAGTTTTCACTGTATTGTAGGAGTGTCTGAGGACTCCTGGGTTTTTAAATGGTAACTGGTACCTATAACTCTTACGCCCCCTAGCTACCGCTGGCATATCTGCTCAGTAGAGCATTTCAGCGAGCAGTATGATAAAATACAATAGCATCCAGTGATCAGGAACAGGTCCAGTGACCGGCTGTGGAATCAGACACAAGTCTATTCTCTATACCACACACCCCCACGTCTCTATTTATATCCGGACAGCAAGGCTTGCTGGGAAACCCGGGAGGAAGGTGAGGCAGGATCACTCCCGGTGCACTCACCAATTAAAAGCGACGCCGACAGCAGCTTGGGGTCATAGGGACTCTTGCCGCGCCCATTCTCCAGCTGCGACGTCTCCAGCCGGAAGACGTTGTCCTAGTTAGAAAAGTACAAGTTCATAAGGTGTTTGAGGATGTTAACATGTGTATGTGTGTCGTTTGGATGATTCTGGATCAATTTCTGCTAACGGGGAAAAAAAAACCCAATTAATACTCTGTCTACACAAGTCAACATTTTGGGGTTAGGAAATGACAGTTCTGCTCAAGAAAGATTAAAAACCATGGAGCCCCAAAACATTCCTTTAATTTCCCACTTCATCAGCTGAACTAAGTGATTTAAGGGGCCATCAGTGAATTGCCGAGAGGTGAACAATGGCATTGTGGCCCTGATGGATGGCAATTTGAGAAATGAAAAACCGTCCCGTACACCGCTATTGGCGCTCTCGGATCTGGCCCAGTTCGGCTCAGAAACGTTCAATTAAAAGCATTTGGGGATCAAATGAGGTGTGAACAGAAGCTGCTTCATGGAGCCATGAAAGTATGACTGATTCCATCACGATCAAGATTGGGGGATTTGCTCAATGGTACTGAACTCCTATAATTGGTGGGGGGGGAGGGGGAAGCAAATCTTTTAAGGAAATGACACATACCACGAATAAGCAGGACCATTTTATGGAAATAAGGCTTTTCATGATCAAAGGTAAAAATCATGAAGATGGGGACATGTAGAGGGGTTGGGCCACAGGGGCACTGGCCCCTGCTGAAAGCTGATTGGCCGCCGGAGTGCCCCCTCCCATGTCACTCACTGATTCAAAACATAATAATAAGGGTAATCCCTCTGTATGAATTATTGCTACTCTTATGCTCCCCACCAAGAAAATACTTGAAACAAGAAATGTCAGTGACAATTCTCCCGAAAGATATGCATAAATTGAAGCTAGCATTAAGCTAGCAATGGTTTGACGTTACACATTGTTAAATTTAAAAATTAATGAAACAGGAGAAACAGACAGTATTTGGGTCAGTGTCAAACAGCCAAGATCCTGCAGCCACGGCGGGCGCCATCTCACCTCCGGGCGCTTGCCCACTTCCAGGTAGGTGCAGACGGGATGGAACGCCCCTGTCCCACAGGCGTACAGGTGGGTTTGGTTGAAAAACTGGAGCACTTTGACGAAGTTGGAGCACTCTTTCTGTGGAGGAGAAGAATGTGGATCAGGTGACAGCCTTGTGCATGAGTCCTGTTCCCTCCCTTTTTGTTTTTCACCAGCAAACACCTCGCCTTAGCTTATCTCTGCTTCCACCGGATCGCTCTGCGTCAACACTAACATCTCAGGTAAAATAAGGTGCTTTCAAATGAACCAAGTCACTCTGGACTCCGTGTTTGAAGCTCCGTTTGACATAAAAATCAGAGATCATGAAACAAATTTGTAAAAAACGATGCATATAATATTACAAAACATGTATTAATTTCAGGATTCAGAGGAGGATGAGAACAGCATGATTATGACTGCTGACACCCTGCTGGTTTGTTCTGAGGAGGAACCAATGGTGTGGAGCATAAATTAATGTGGTCAGCTGAACATCAGCCAGGCTTCCTTGTTTCAGCCGGAAACAGATCATGACGTGCCCTCGGCGGGAACGAGAAGGCCGGCGATTGACCCATCCCTCCTTTCTCAGGCCAAGGCCATGTGCTCAGCATGGGTGTGAAGGGAAGCCATCCGAGTGGTGTATAGCTCAGCCTGTCTCCGGAAGGTCATGGGTTTGAATCCCGTGGCTGGCAGAGTAATCATTTCACAGCTGTGCCCTAGAGTGAAACCCTTAACCTCAACTGCTTCAGGGATGCTGGATGCCCCTGCTGTCTGACCCCAAGCTTTCCTTAGGAGAAAATTATCTGCTAAATAAACAAAAGTCAACACACTCTCCAAAGTGGGTGGGGCCATTGTAACTGCCAATGCCAACGTTGCTTACATCCACAGTTCCTCATGATCCTCGTAGTTGGATGGGGTTTATAAGGTGAGGGTAGGGAGACCCTTTCTATGGTAATGAAATGCCGCAAGGACCAGCAAAGATTCTCGTCAAGTTTTTCTGCATTTATTAACCGACGGCTGTAATCAGCAGAACTGAAGATGAATCTTGACAAGGTTCAAGCAAGTTAAAATGCAGCTGACTCTCTCTACTGGATGTTCAGTCAGCTGTCATTAGCAGAATCGAAGTTAGATTTTGTGAAGGTCAAAACGTCACCCTGCACTGTCCGTTCAGCCGAATGGGACAGGGATTTCAGAAAGCTGTCAGAAAGGCAGTTTGCGGCTGTCTGGTAATTCGGAGAATGGCCAGGAGGTGGCGTGAAACACAGGCTACTACTGCCCATGGAAGGTGACGCCTCTCTGTGCTTCTCCGGCCCACTACATTCCAGCATATGATCTGTAACATTCTCGTGGCAGCACTGTTTACCAACACTCAAACCACACATTTGCATGGGGGCCCTCTGTTGGCCACAAATAGTCACTACACTTTTTCAGTGGGGCCCCAGAAAAAACAAACCATACTCTGCATGCTCACATAGCAAAGTGGAGCCTTCCTGGGCCCATACCAATGTGACACGTCCCGGCAGGACTAACACTGGCCCACGGCCCTTTCCCCACCCTGCGTCTCGTCTCAGCTGGTTCCTTACTGAAGTGAAACGTCAAACGCACGTGTGGCCATGAAATTACGACCTGTGAAACTCAACTTCCATAAAACATCCACTGAGAAGGCAATGACGGGAGTCTGCAAACATGCCCGAGTGCGATTCAAACCTGACATTTGGAAAAGAATCTTTTTCACTAAGATTAAACGGGCTACAAACTAGCCATTTATCAATCAGTCTTCCAGCTGCTTATTCGGGACAGGACCGCAGTGGGGCCTGGATCCCATCCCAGACAGTACAGGGCACAAGGCGGGGAACATCCTGGACGAGTTGCCAGGGACCCAAACGACATCTGGCTAATCAGCCGCTTTTGGAAACGATGCTCATCACAGCTGTGAAACCGCATCGAACGAGACTTTTAACGTGTGGATGCACATTTATTTTTTGTTTATTTAATAACATCGCCAACCTGTCCATTTCTGAAAGCATTTTGCCATAAATCAGACACCCAAATGCTGAAAGGCTGACATAAACAGTCAACTGTCAAGAAGGCAATTTCGAACTCGTCGCATCGGATCCCGGCCTTGCGACTTTCACCACTTTTGCTGTTTGAAGACCCGCCTTCCAAGGTGCCCAGCGACAGGGGGCTACACCGGACAAAAAAAATGCTCTTAGTGGCTGGCAGAAAGCAGTCCACGAGGGCCACATCTGGAAGACATCAGCGTGTCTACCTGAAATCGACATTAAATATACTCAAGGAGGCCATTTGGCACCCCCTTAATGTGTACATAATACGGGCAAACAGAGGGCCTTCGCGTAAACATCTCGCACACTGTGCTCCTATTAAGGACAAATCACCTTCCTCATTTACGCCCCACCAGGGACACCGGCAGGGTCTTTTCCAAATGTGAGGAGTGGACCCTTCTTTCCAAAACGTTAAAGTGCCCCCCCCCCAGCCATTTACAGTAAATATTTAGTGGGCCTGCACATTTTGGCTTTCATTGTCACAAAAAAAGCACCGTACGTCGGCAGAATCTGCGTAAACAAAAGCCTGTTCATTCATTTATCATTCCAAAAATCTCATCACCGCCCAAAAACACACGAGGTGACTGTATAAGCCTCCTGACAACCACAATGGTTTTCTTTCAAAGAAAAATACCACCCTGTCGGATGCTGAGTTTATAAACACAAGAGGGATTTTCCAAACAGCGGTATTGTTTTAAGGTAGAATTAATATCCATGAGAGTGTTTTTACTGTAAAAGCATTGCTTATAGACTCTGATTTTTAGTCCTGAATATTAACCAGGAGGAAACTTCATCATGTGTGTGTGAGAGTTGGGTGCTCCTGAAAATCAGCAAACATTGTTTCAGTTGGGGGCGTTGCACACAGAATACTCACCAATAAGTCCTTCCCTGCCCACTTGCACTCATCTCGCCTTGATGGGGTAGCAGGCCATGAAATCTGTAGTGTTCAAGCAGACAGTCTTGTCAGCTTATTAACTTGGAAGCACTGGAAACTCTTAAAATCGAATTTAAAACTGAGAAGTAAATAAATCACTTCACGAGACACCACATTTGAGGTTTTTAAGGTTTCATTTTTTCCAGTAGTGACCTCGACAAATAACCGTACCTGCAACTTGTTAAAAAGGGTTGATTTTTATTTGACGCATTTCTGAATCACATTTTGCTAGACTCAAGAAATAATTTTATGTGCATGTGCTTTGGACAAATAGCCATAAATCACTAGTTTTAGCCTGATACCAGCTTGGAAACACTGTAAGACTTTCCAGGAATTAAATAACAGACACAGATTTTGTGTTTGCATCGGATTACAAACGACAGTACGATAAATGAAATATTTCCTGCCCGACAAATGAAATGTTTACGTTGAGCAGCGTTGCCTCGCCTTCATGAAAGATCAGATAATTTTTTTCTTTCTGTCTTTAAACCTGTTCCAGGTAGAATAATGAAATTATACTCAGGATTTGCTGCTGGAGTGAAATGAAAACAATACCAGGAACTACAGAAAGGAAAAAAGGGGGGAAAGGATGGAGATATGATCGAGAAGAAGGGTAGAGGAATGAGATCAGGGACTTGGGCTTCCTGACAGCATTCTTTCTCCAGCGAGCTGGATTCCGAGTCTAGTCGGCCGTTCCAGACGGTTAATGTCAGAGAGACGAGGACCCTTTTTCAAAGATCCTCCCCCCCACTCCCAGTTCCCATTTTCCTGCCGGTATGGAGTGCTCGTCTGCACGTCGGTCATCCCCAGGTTGCAATGAAATTCCATGCTGCCAGACCGAGGAGAAGACAGGAGGGAGGTCTCCGGCTTTTAGCTGGACATGTGGTAGGTCTTCAAGCCAGCAAACCTGGAAGAAAGCCCCCCTCCCCCCCGTTCCTCAGCAGGGCCTCGTGGGCTTGACGCCAAGCTCTCCTGGACATGCCCCCCCATCCCCCCCTCGGTGTTGTGGAGCTCAGTCCCAACGGTGTGTCTCAAACTCGCACATTGTCGATATTGCTGTGTTCTTGGAATGCCATTAGGAAGAGAGCCAGACTGTCCATGGATCAAACATCTCACTATACTGTAATGCTCAGTTTCATCCCAGGCTCAGATGGCATGAGTAGACAGGAAAGCCTCCAGATCACAATTATCTGCACCCATGTTAAAATATCCATATATATTAAGATTATAACATACAGTACCAGTCAAAAATCTGAACCTGCTTTTAATGCATTTGTCTCCATTTTTGCTTGTTATTGACTTTAAATGGCCATTACACAATGAAGTAACACATATCAAATATTGCAACAAGACTCTTTAGACTCTTCAAAATATCACCCCTTTGCTTCCATGACAGCATTGTAGACTCTTGGAATTCTTTCAGCCAGCTTCCAGATGTAGCCACCTGGAATGCTTCTCCAACAGTCCTGAAGGAGTTTCCACAAGTTCTGGGTACAAGTTGGCTACCTTGCTCTTACTCTTCGATTCAATCCAACTCATCCCAGTCCAGCTCTATAGGGGTTAGGCTCATGAAAATGTTGTTGTACCTTGAGACCAGTTTGAAGTATTTAAGCCAAGCACTCGCTATGTCACGTACAGTAGGGAAATCTCCAGTCCTGTACACAGCTTCACAGCATCATGATGGATTGAAGGGACTTTCCAGGCATCGGAGATGCCAACACAGGCCATGTGTTTTTCCATTCGCAGTGTGTTGGACGGCTCTCCGTGTTTCATGGGATGTGGGGGCCAGTTCGGGCTTAAAGGTCACATTCTCAGTGGTGTCCGCTGTCCCCCTATTGCCTTTATTAGTCACCCTGATCTCTGATGTAGGATGGTTCCTCCTCTTAAATATTCCCTGGGAAGCTTTTCCAAGTACCCCCACTGGGGCAGCCTGCGGGGCAGGTTTTTTTGTTGGCGCCTGCTGCTGTTGTTCCCATCATGGTTTTCACATCTCATTTCCTCATTCCCGTGACGAGGCTGTGTCTCCTTCCCGTGGGTCAGTATGCTGCTGGGGGGGGGGTGTCCCGGTGTACTAGAAACCGTTTTGCAATAACGGCAGATGGAGAACCTCTGATATGATATCTCAGACCAAGTGGCATACCCATGAACCGTTTGCGTTCCTGGAATCCTGACTGCAGTTAGACCATGCCCTTCTGGTCAAATTCACCACACATGCACAAACATGTGTCATGTTTGCCTCTACCTGTGTCTGGTTCATGTTAAAAATCTGCTCGAACAAGTTCCAGGTCATGGGTACTGAATAAACACCGGGATATTTCCACATTTTAGTTACAGATTGAGCTTGACGGGAGATTTCAGGCCGTCTCTAAACGTTAAACACAGAGCCAAACTGAACGTGGACTAACGCGACCAAATCATCAGCAACCTGTCCTCCAACTATTTGTCTTTAAAAACTGACGGCTGTCATATTTTGACATCACACCCAGTGCCAGACACCCCTAATGCTCCTTCTGACTATGCTATGCTAACCGTGTTCCTCCATTTGGCTTTGCTTCACCCCAGACACACCCCCCCCCCCCCACTCTGAAGCAGCGTTACCTTTAGGTAGTCTTTGTTAATGTTGACAAGATTAAATGAGAATATGTGGTCCTTGGCCCCCACCACCAGCCTGCCCCGCTCCTCGTCCAGCAGGAAGGTGTGGTAACTCGAGCTGTTAGCCAGACCGTTAAAGGTGATTAGATTGTTGGAGTCCAGCATCTCTGTGAAGGGAAAGGGAAGATGATGGTTAGCGGGGAATGCGGTGCACAGAATTAGGGTCCCAAAACTCAAAAAGTCGCTTTGCACGCAGATGCACTATTTGAACGGTAGCAAACACCACTGCTGGCCACAGATTAGGCACTGATGAGTATTGGAGCACTAAAACGCAATGGATAAACCTGGATGTATATTTTTATATAATAAATGTTATATAAATACTTTTATATATATTATATATTTTCTAAATATATAATCAGGTGCAGGAATACATGTAATTTCTTCCACGATGCTGAGGAAGCAGGCAAAGTCAGTGGTGCAGACGAGCCATCGGCGCTATGGCCGCAGGAACCGCGGCACCGAACTCGAGCCGTCTGCGGCTTGGCCCGCCAGGGAGGCCGCTTCCCCCACGCACCGGCTCTCGGCTGCCGACCCGGAGCTTTCCGCCGCGTCCCGTCGGGCCATTAGAAGCTGGCAGGGCGACACAAGAAAGTGCCGCCGATTATGGCGCTTAGGATGTGCGTGTGGAGCCAGAGTCACCGCGTGTTTACATCGGATGCGGCGTCTGGTTTCTGCTAGTGAGAATCAGCGTCAGGCAAGAACGGCTTAATGACTTCCAGGGTCAGCACAACTCGGAATGGAAAAACTCATAAGACAGGCAATCGGTGTCAAGGATGGTGTCTATATTACTGATTAGCTAGGGAAAAAATTCTGCATAAAAGTAATTACAAAATATCCTACTACTATAACCAGGGCTGCCCGGTGTTTCACGAAGCAGGATTACTCAGTTAGCTGGATTAACGTAAGCTAGAAGTCATGATCATCCAATAAGAGTTTAGGCAACAAGCATTCCTATTGGACAATCATGATTTCTATCTTAAGTTAATCCAGCTGACTGAGAAAATCTGCTTCGTGGAACATCCCACTGGGCTGATGTCAGCATGGACAGTCCGGAGCTAACTAGCCGTTCCGTTCTTCCCAAGCCTAGGATAGACTATGCATGAATCCACCACTGACTACATCTAATATTATATTTATTATTTTTATTAATAAAAATTAATTCATCTACCATATATAATAAAAAAAAAAAAAAATAATAATAATGGGCGATTACTGTTGTTGGGGGGGAGAGACTGGGCAGTAACCCAAGCAGCAGAGTCACTTCACAGGCAGAGGGCATGCCGGACCATGTCACCACCCCAGAACACCCTCACATGGCAGCGCCACCTTCCTGAGAGCGACATTATGTTTAATTTATGATTTATCCACCGAAAGGTTTTGTGTTTAAGAAGAAAAGGCGTCACTCCCAGCGCAGCGGGTGGGGTTTGTGCTGGAGGCTTTTTTTAAAAACGTCTGGCGCATTCATTTCTTTTATGAATGGCCGGGAATTTTAATAACTAAAGGGACTGTCTGGAAGCTTCTAGAAACAGTTCTGAAGATGACAATCAACACAGAGCCCTAATTCAAAATTGCACAACTGTGCATGATTTGTACCCTTTCTGGTACATCTTAAAAAAAAAATCTAAATAAATAAATAAAAAGATGTACTGTATAAATAATGACAAGATGACAGTGGTTAACGGTATTACTCAGTGACGGAACAAGTACAGCATGGTAAAGCTGCAATTATTCATAATAATGCCATGACACGTGGTTCATAAATCATATTTTCCGTGGGTTTTTCCTCAGTTTTAGTACCAATAATAAATCGCACAGAACTATGCTGCATGCAAAATCTGCCACAATATAATTTATTATGATGAATAATAAAATTAAAAAATGCATTTACTGTATAATCAACAAACTCTCAAGATACTGGTCATTTTACTAATATTCGTTTGAGACAAAAAAAAAAAAAGACGTGTAGTTCATTTACAGGACCTTAAATCCGGAGATGTTGTCATTAAATGTAAATGAGGGAGTTTTTAGATGCCTACGGCTCTTGGTTCCCTGCATGAAAATGTCAAATCCTGCGAGTTCAGTCGCAGGGTATAATTGCCATAGCTGAAGGCCACAGTGCAACAGCTCGCCTCATCATTAAACGCGGCTCTGAGTCTAAGTTTTTCTCTGGGTTTCAGAGCACTGGAGCATCAGTGGTACAGGTGCCAGAAATGTGCAAGGGAGGGGCCGCTCGTCCCAGGAAGCCCGCAGGGGCTATTGGACGCTCGTCTCCGGCTCCTTCCCATCCCAGCTGTCCAATTGCAGTAGTCAGTCACCCTCGCTTTTGCCCGCTCCGCAAACCCCAGGCGCCACGCTCGACAACGTCGTCGCCGAAGCTCCTGGGCACTGCTCCGGGGCTGGGGGAGGGAGACATGGCTGATTGGGGGCTGTCAGCTGGGGGGGGAGGGGTACCCACATGGGGCAGGCGGACAGCCACTAGAGGAAGTGAGGGGGGGGCAGTCTCCCAATATGTAACAAGATACGGTCTGAGTGAGGAAAATAAAACCCTGAAGGATGTTAGAATATATACACGCCATTACCCTGAATGGTTTTAACCGCAATAACGTGTCACGAAAGTAGCATTAAAACTTTATGGCCGATTACATTACCCTCGCTGTCATTTCTGCCCAGCTACCTTCAACAAAGGAGCCATGTCTAAAGTTTAAAGAAAAAAAAGTTAAATTCAGATACGAATGGAACGATGCACCAGCGGACCTACATAAGAAGTTTGCTGAGTTGGTGAGATGTATTGGGGTGAAATTAGGGGTCTTTTATCAGAGTCAGACCTCGATGAGACCCACACCTCTTCTTAAATACATTTCTCCATAGCTGGGACTCAGAGGAACTGAAGCCCGGTGTTTCGCCCACGAGGATCCGGCCACACAGGTTTGTCCAGTGAGCATCTTCACATCCTCCGAGAGAAACACACATCTGTGCCCAAGTTCCTTATGGTTGCCTCAGTGCCAGATGTGGTTCTCGCTGCCACGGGCGATGACAGGCTTATTCCCCCGAGTTTGTTTTCGATCCATTAGAGCTCGCTGGCAGAGAACAGCTCTGCGTTTTCTTGTTCGTCATCATCTCGGTCATAAAAAGCATGGGTCGAGTAAACTGCAGGATCGCAACCTGTGCCAAATCTTGAAAAGACTCGAAGGCGGGTTCATCATGAGGGCCAATGGTTTTGTACGATATTCCAAAAAAGAAAATACGGTCTGAACGTAATGCTGCATGTGCGGGGTTTTATGAGCCTTAGTACAATCCCTGGAGTAATTTATCACCACTCGAGCAATGGAAAGAAGTTCATCGTCCGTGTCTGTGTCAGAGGCTCTGCTTTCCGTATTAATGCTTCTCCTCAAGACACCGACACGGTGTTGTGCGAGATGTTACTTGTGATCTATTCACAAACAGCCTTATCTAGCACAATCACCCCTACCTCCAGCACGTCATCCGTTAGAATCTCCACACATCAGTAGGTGAGAATGCACCAATATCGTTACACTGCGTAGACGCAACCGTGAAAAACAACTCTTTGGAAACCTTATTTATCAGGTGGCCTTTTGACCACCTTCTCCTGCAGCATGCAGACCGCCTGCAGTCAGTATGCATTTCTGCACCATTAACAGTAGACACGACGAGACTGGTGCAGCTACAATGCATTAAGCCTGCTTTGGTGGCAGGTGAGATTTCCCTGACTTTTTTCTTGGCATATGGGTTTTTTTTTCCTGTTCCATTTCACCCGAGCTCTCAGCCTTTATCTGAGTCACGATCGGCTGCCGGGTTCTTGCGCCTCCGATAGGAATCCGACATCCAGGCCGACCAAGGCTAGCTCCCGTGGATCTGGATCTCATCACTTCCTGTCTCCGGATAAACAGTGGGACACCTAATGAATTTTTCCTCAGTGGACAAAGAAATGCACACCCGTTTGAAGTGTGTTTACATGTCAGTGCTCAGGAGACTGCTGGTTGGGGTGGGGGGGCAGGTCCTCCGTCTGCTCCTGGTTATAGCCACTCAGAGTTTTCAGAAATGCAAGCGACTGAGAAATACTTTCCATAATCATTTTCTAGAACGTAAACAGTCATAGTTCCTTTATTTTGGTCAAAATAAAGAGCATTACTCATTTCTATTATCACGCATACAAACAAATGTTCCAGGTGATACAAATGGATTACTCGCTTTGACAATATTCTGCAAGGAATGTACTTCCTTGATATGATATATATATATATATATATAAGTTATACGTTTTAGCAATGCTGTGACAATGACCTTGTTTACTGACTGTGCAGACATAATTCTTTGTTTTATACAAATGCATGTCGAAAAGTTCACTCTGAGAAACCCAGCACCGCTCTGGAAATTGAAGGCACATGTTCTCCTTACGAGTCATGATTTACAACAGGGAACCATCCCTAACGGAAGTACAGTCTTACCCTCAAGGATAACGGCTAACCTTAAAGGTCGAGCTTTATTTTCTTTCATTGCTTGTAGATACAGGCTCCAGTTTGGAGAAAAATATACTGAAATGTAAAATGTAGCCATAGACTTTATCTTACTCTACAAGTAGATGCAAATATCACTTAAACGCATTACGTGAGATACGGATCTTCGACCGTGGGCAGCAATCCTCTGCTGATGACATTCTTAAGGTGATTTCCAAGCCACAGTGAAGTTTACGAATTTCATAAGTAATGCATGAGGTCTGGTGATTTTGAGGTGAACTGAAGTTGACGAGGTGCAGTTGTAAGGTCAAAACAGGTCACACAATTTACTAAAATGCTAATTGACTGCCTTAAATGTGCAGCAGAGATCGGATATCGCCTACCAGTTGTGTCATTCCTGCACACATTTGCCCCTGTCTTCCTTACACCTATGGATTCATTTCCCTGGAGAAAGCACAGTCCCACCGTGCCCTGAATTGACATCAAAGCAATGAAATTTTTAGGACAGTGATTAATGGCAAATCCACTGCTGTAACGTACATCTACGAGCACAAGCTGACAGCATAGCTTGGGGATGTATGAGCTCCATTCCAGGAGGAAATCTGGCCAGGCTTTTATGGAGCAGAATG